GAGACGGAAGAGGAGAGGGAGGGAGGGAAGGGGAAGGGGGAAATGGAAGAGGCAATTTCCGAGAATTGAAATTGAAATTGAAATAAGTTTATTGAGGTAAAATACACACAAAAAGGGATGAGGTAGCTCAAGCTATTCTCACCCCGTTCAGTACATCGTGTTAATACATACACAGACACACATCACAAGCAATAAACGTATTACCGAACATTCTGAGAGATAAACATATACATTTCCTCCTTTACACATTTCCGAGAAGGTGGTTGCTTCCAAGGAAGAGGCAAGAGGAGTGTGTGATCACTCCCCACACTCTGTGAGCTGTCTTGATCACTTCCAACTGGCCATTCCTCGGTCTTAACAGCTTTCCCCAGTTTTACGACCAAGACCCACTGACCATTAACATGTTCCCGTATAATTAACATTAAACTTTAACGAAGTCGCCTGACGGATAATGTCAGAATTAACGACAAGAACCGAAACAACAGAAGAAGGCATAGTAATTGACACAGTCAACGGCATGAAGCAACAGAATGAACAGGTAACGCACGTAAAATAATCGTTAATGACAGATAAATCACCTGAAGCAGGCAACGTAAGATAACGCGGAACCCAACGCCACTTCTTTGAACAATACTCACTTGTTACAGTGAGACGTTACCGCGGTAACACACATGTTGAGCCTCGTAATGCTGGTCTGATGTTGTGGTGATGGGGGGGTGGTGATGGGGAGTGGGGGGGGGTGGTGATGGGGGTGGGGGTGGTGATGGGACGGTGGAGGGGGGCGTGAAGGGCAGGGTGGGCGTGATGGGGGTGATGGGGAAAAGGGGGGGGGGGTGATAGGTGGAGAAGGATAGGGAAGTCCAAAATCCATACGAGGAGGAGGAAGGATATGGGTGAATGAAAAAGGGAATAACTGAAAGAAATTTAGATGTGTGTGTGTGTGTGAAGAGGTTAGTGGGAAGTAATTATTGCAAAAGGAGGAAAAATGAGGCACAAGTTGAAAGAGGAATTAAAAGATGAGGGAGGCAGTGAGGTGTGAGTGTGGCACAGCATAGACTCGCCATGAAGGCTATCCCGGCATGGTGAACCTAATTGCTGAATACCCCCATTATATATCTCGATGAGATATTCAATGAATATCCCATTGAATATCTCGTTACAAAGGGTTGAAAACCTCACTTATTTTACAAACATTTAACATAGTAAAGATAAGTGATGTTCTGTTTTGATATTTTAGATAAGTGATATTTGAGAGGTTTCTGTAAAAATAACTTTCAAATATAGTGGTGATTTAGAAACTGTTCACAAATTGTACTATAATCTTTTCCAGAGAACATTGACGTTTATCTCGTAATGATAAGCGGTTTAAATTTAGTTTACAAAGGTTTACATATGTGTAAACTGGTGAACGGTGCACCCAAGAACCCGTGTTCATAAAGTCCCGTCTCAACGCGGCTTATTGAAATTCGAAGAAGGTGATCACGTGTATAATGCCAGCACGACTGAAGAGCTTAAGGCGGGATATGTGGTCCAAACTTTCACTCTGCACCCTCGTGCTTACAAACACTCCCCCCCCCCCACAGGTGCATACAGGTACACACAAACACTCCCCCACAGGTGCATACAGGTACACACAAACACTCCCCCACAGGTGCATACAGGTACACACAAACACTCCCCCACAGGTGCATACAGGTACACACAAACACTCCCCCCCACAGGTGCATACAGGTACACACAAACACTCCCCCACAGGTGCATACAGGTACACACAAACACTCCCCCCACAGGTGCATACAGGTACACACAAACACTCCCCCACAGGTGCATACAGGTACACACAAACACTCCACCCACAGGTGCGTACAGGTACACACAAACACTCCACCCACAGGTGCGTACAGGTACACACAAACACTCCACCCACAGGTGCATACAGGTACACACAAACACTCCCCCACAGGTGCATACAGGTACACACAAACACTCCCCCCCCACAGGTGCATACAGGTACACACAAACACTCCCCCACAGGTGCATACAGGTACACACAAACACTCCCCCCCCACAGGGGCATACAGGTACACACTAACACTCCCCCACAGGTGCATACAGGTACACACAAACACTCCCCCCCCACAGGTGCATACAGGTACACACTAACACTCCCCCACAGGTGCATACAGGTACACACAAACACTCCCCCACAAACGAATACAGGTGACGAAACTGAAGACAGGGCGCGGACGTGATCACAGAGAATGACAAGGAAGTATGTGAGGCACGCCATTAGCCATTGCAGGTGTTCACAATAGAGCTATGGTGTTATCTTGAGAAGTTATCTTGAGATTATCTTGAGATGGTTTCAGAGCTAAGCGTCCCTGCGGCCCGGTCCTTGACCAGGCCTTTTTCTTGTTACCCCACCCCCCAGGAAGCAGCCCGCAGCAGCTGTCTAACTCCCAGGTACCTGTTTACTAATAGGTAACAGGGCATCAGGTTG